TTCAAAGTAAGTGCTTGTTGACTCCTGTATAAGCAGGACTGACATGTTGTGCAATCTGTAGTTCTCCCATTTGCCTTACGGTGACAACATTGGTCTGGAAGAAAATGATCTGAAATCCTTCCTTATAGTGACTTTCAATGACCGTGATATTCCTGTTCCTGAGCTGGCAGTGTGGTTACCAGCCCAGCTGGGCCTTTGCGAGGGGCTGGAAGTCAGGACGTTTCCAGAGCTGTGCCAGTGAGTGCAGTATCTACAGCTGATATAAATTAGTCTCGTAAGACTTTCTCACTTTGTTTTCCATAGATACCTTGGGAACCTGTGTGGTTTTTGAAGAAAACACAGAGCATGGTAATTGTGATTTGATGTCCTGTTCGTTGTGGTAGCCTGGGAGGTTAAAAATATTTACGTTGTTCCAGTTGATAGTGGAATTCACTGTAATGATTGGGGTTTGGGTATTGTTTTTTCTCCTCTATCCATAGTAGATGCAGAAGGCAACCAAAAGGTACAGCTGAAATACAAGTGCCACACAATGAAGAAGCTGAACATGACACGGACACTTTTGACAGAAAAGAAGGAAGGAGAAGAGAATGTTGGTTAGTGCCTCTGTTCTTATGCACAGGGACATGGATGGATTATGCTTAGGAGTGTCAGCCTTGATTAAGTGTTTGATTCACGAGCATGCAGGAAGTTAGAGGAACTTTCTTCTTTAAGCATCAAATGTGTATATTTAAATACAAAACAAAACACCAAAAAAAAAAAAAGAGATTCTTTCTGACCAGTGCTGCCTCCAGAAGTGGCTGGTCGGAGGTTCCTACAGAAGAGTGTAAGAGCAGGGCAAACATACGCTGATGTTCCCTGATATATTTTTCTGTCATGTAAAAGTTTCGGCACTAGTTCTGAAATCAGAGGTACTGTTTAGTAGTTCTTCACTGATTATTTTTTTTAATTTTTTTTTTACTTCCATCAATCTTTCTAATGACTTTTTGAGTTACTGTAATTGTTGAAAATCTGTAATATCCTTAGTAAGAAGTTCCATGTTGTATGTACTACAACTGAATTGTTCTTACTGAATTTACAGTTAACTGTAAATTAATTTAACTTACTTGCAAAGGCACACCTAGGAGACCATTCATATTGATTTTCATTCTGTAGGCAGAACTCGGTGCTCGTGTTTGCTGTATTTCAGTGGTGTTTTTTCATATGGAAGTCAGTGCTTTTACCTAGTCAGATATTGAGTATCCTACTATATACAGTAGTATTTCATTAGCAGTATCCTGTTGCTTTTTTCCACTCAAGTCAGTGTTACTGCTTCATATTTTAAGAATATGTAGCCATTTTACATTAAATACGGGCAGTCAGCTGGACATTGGTCATAGGAGCTATAACATGAAGTGTCATCTAGAATCTAACCAAACATCAGCATTCTTATCAACACCAGGTACAATTTCTTCTCTCCATATAATTAAGAAGGTAATGTTAAATAGAAGCTATTATTTTTGAAGTACAGTAGACTAGAGAATATGTTGCTTAATACAAAGGCCTATTTTGTTCTGGACAAGCAATAATGATGATACCTGCTGAAAAACACTTTGTTTCTGTACCCTGACAGAAGTTTAATGTTGTGCATACAAAGTAACTACAACATGTTGTGAATCGGCAATGTGTACTGCCTAGGAATCTAAGGGGGAGAGGAATTCCAGTTCTATCTGGAGTCCGTTCGATATGTGTTGTAAGAGCTTGATATACTTGAGTTCAGGAGATGACACAAATTCTTATGCTGTCTCTGATGTCATTCCCTATCACATTACCAGGTGTTCTAAGATTTAGGTGAACAAACGTTTTATTCTCTTTATTGCATTTGTAAAATATTTTCTCAGAATTTTGAATTATATTTAAGTTATTTTAAGAGTCTAAGGGTGGTGTCTGACACCTAAACACAACAGGAACTGCCATACTGGATTGGACCAAAAGTGTTTTAGTCCTCTGTTATATTTCTGACTATGGACAGCAGTTAAGTGGGTACGTGGAAAGTAGCAAGAGGGGGACAGATACATGAGTAATCCTTTCTTTTGGCTATCCTTACGGTGTTCAGCAGTTCATGAATATCCTGACAAGAGTTTTCATCTGGACTTCTATGCCTTTAGTCCATAAAGGCTCTGTCATCTTCACTTGCTTTTTGAACCTGTCTATGCTTTTGACTTCTACCACTTTTTATGGCAGTTAGTTTTCAAATCACATTTCTGTTGTTTGGAAAAAGTACAGCTTTACTGTGGGTTTTCTTGATTGTTTGTTTGCTTTTGTGGTTGTTACAAATGTATGAGCTGGCACTTCCAATGAGTGCGGGTTACTTCACTTGTTATCAGAATTAGGAGATAAGTCAATCCCTACTTGTTTTCCCAGTACAGCCTTATAAGCATCTGACCCTTCTGAGCTCTCCTCCAAGAAGAATTGTAGTCTCTGTCGCTTTTTGTTGCCTTTTTTTTCTTGTTGTTTGTTTGTTTGTTTTAAAGTCTCTTCCCACGTAGAGCTAACTTTTCTTTCACCAATTCTTGTTTCTCTTTTCTGGTTTTACAGTATGGGTTGAGCAGAACACAGTACTCATGACATGGACGTAGCATAGTTTTGTATCTTGACATTCCCGCTTTTCATTTACTTTCCTAATGATTTTATCTCCATTGTGGCTGCTCTTTAGAGACCAAGGTGATGACGTCACTGAACCACACACAATGCCTCCAGCATCTGGATAAAAACCTGTAGCTATATGTCTTGGTTAAGTTGATTTAGCGTATGCATGTTGTTGTTAATTTAACAACAGTTAAGTTTCTCGTAATTTCAAGCTGGTCTTTCTTTATCAAATGCCTTTCTGTTATTCACAGCCTTATTTTTCAAGGAAAACTAATGGTTTAAGCCCCATGGTGAGACTCACCACAAAAATCAGTGTTGGTCCAAATTCTTGAAAGACATCTTTCTATCCTAAGTGGTTCTTTTACTTAAATGTTGGTCAGGCTCAGCCTTAATAACAGTGAACTTAAACTAAGAAAAAATTGCCGTTAACTCTTAACTCCTTTTGTCACTAATACCAATTTTCCTTCTTTTGCATCAGGTGGCGTGGAGTGGTTACAGATCAAGGACAGAGATTTTTCCTACAGCAGGCCTAATACAATTTGCAGCTTTCTGCGTGAAAAAGAAGATTCTGAGGAGTCAGCTCAGGCCCAAGACAAATTGACTGAAGAGTCAGAGGGAGAGGTGGGTGGTGGAGGAAATTCTGGCATGAGTTGTGATCTGGAGAAGCAGCACAGCTTGGAGGTAGATGCCCCTCTTCCTCTGCCTGACAGCCCTGCTTCTAGGGCAGAGGATTCTCCTTCTGGAAGCGTTGCCTTAGACAATGCCGCTCCATGATACCAGCTCTGATCTTTTCAGGGTTTCTTCACGGAATTAACAGGCCAGCTTTTAAATGCCAACTGTTACAGGCTGTGACATGATTTCCAACTTATCTGAGCAATTAATAGTGGGAAAACGGACATTGTGTTCTTGTGCATTGCTTTTATGTTTGGATTATAGTGGGGAGGGCTTAAGTGTTTTTTAAAAACGCTGATTGGAAATGTGCGTATCCCTACCTCAAAACTGAAGAAGAGGAAATGGTTACATAATTAAAGAAACCCTACCTTAGAAAAATGTTGATGTATTGCACAGTCTGGAACACTTTGTAAAAAGAAAATCGTTTAAAATAAATTTCAAGTGTTTTTCAAGTATATCTTCACCTTGTGTGTCACATTCAGCCGCACGCTGTGTTTGTTCTTTTACTGCAGTTATTGAAGAAAAATTCAAGTAAGTGTGGCTTTTATTACTTGTTTGATTACTCATCAAATTGCTTAGTTTGGATTTTCTATAGCGTCCTTTGTCCCCTTGACGGATCTTAGAAATCCTTCATGTGGGAAGGGACTTCAGGAGGTCTCTCGTCCAGCTTCCTACTTAAAATAGGGTCAGCACTGAATTCAGGCCAAGTTGCTCAGGGCTTTGCCCAGTCCAGTCTTGAAAAACACTGTGGACTAGTCAGCAACTGAAATCTCGGTCTTAATGAGGCATCCGTCATGCTTCTTCCCCCATTTTGTGTATAATGTGTGTTATACAAAAGGAAGTCTTCCACTCCACTCCCCCCAGTAGCTTCGTGGCTCTGATCTTCTCCTCTGGCATTTTTCTGAAGATTTTTATGCCTAAGGTCCTGTAACCATGCATCAGTGGTTCCCAAACTGATCCCTGTGACTGTACTGTGGCCCCTAGCTGCTCTGTGGGTTGATATTACATACTGCTACATCATTTATGTTGTCACATAGTATTGCATACAACAGTTGAGAATGTGGTGCGTTCATGATAATGTTTTTAAAAGCACAGCATTTTTTTAAACATAAAACATTTTCTTCCTGACCTTTCTTCCTTCCTACCTTTCTCTGCCTCCCTCAAAATAGTTTAATTGCAACAGTGCTGTGAGGATGGGAACGCCTCATTCATTCCGGCATAATTATGTAATCCTTTAATTAGTAATGATCAAGGAGAAGTTCAGAGCACAGGATCAGTAAAGATAAGTCATCAAAACAGTGCAACAGTTTCAAACCATCAATCCCACTATTCAGTTTTTCTGTGTAGAAGCAACTTGAATCATGGGGGAGGGGGAGGCAGGGAGAGGAAGGTGAGGAAGAAGAGGGAACGTGTTCTGTACGCCTCCAGCCTGGGCACGGATCTTTCACATGGCAGTGTCTGCGCTTCAGGTTTCAGGGAGACCGCTCAGCCTTCCCTCTGGATTTAACTGCAATCGCAGAAGTTTAAAAGCATTCTTCAAACTTGATTTGTAAGGTGCTGATCGACAGAGGATAATTATAACTGGAACAACGATCTTGGGAATATTGTGAACTGGTGTAATGTAAGTTCTTGTCTGCAGTGTGGAGCGTTTGCAGTGCTGGGCTGCCCTTGCTGACAGCTGGGCCTCCTGCTAGAGAGACGGGGCGTGCCGTAGATAAAAAGCGCTCGCTATCGTAGCTTCTGCCGCTGAGAACAGAGAGGTGCTTCCAAGAGTTTATTCTCTCTCAGCGTGCGGACGTAGCAACCCTCTCTACATCTGTCACTATGTACGTGTAGATTTTCTTTATCATGTGCAAGGAGTATTCTAGCAGAATTGGTTTCTGACCTTTTTCAGCCTTTTCTTTCAGTAGTGTACTGAAGCTGTTTCTCTGTTCTAGTTCATCTGGGAATCAGTTTTTTTTTTTAACATTTTATGTTAATATTTATGTATATCATAAACTCTGAGTTACCTTCCTAGTAATGTTTTTTAGATTTTAAATGTTATTTATAATGCTCAGACTTTTGTTTCTATTATTATTAGCCCTGACTTTTGCAACCATACTCGCTCTTTACCCATCTTTCCCCCCTTCCTCCCAGAAAGCAGGTGCTAAGAGTCCACTGCTGCTGACAGCAAATTCTTCAGCTGTCCTGATTTTGCCCAAAGAAGCCCAACAAGTTGGTTATTTCAAGTACAGTTCAAAATTGGGGGGTGGGGTGGGGGTGGTGGAGTAAAAAGGGTATTGGGTAAGTATAATAGCTGAACACAGGATTACTGCCGTAATCGTCCTTCCCTGGTTATCGTATGTCGTTCGTGTCCTTGTGCCTAGCCCCTAGACACTGGAGCATCCCAGTAGTTCCTGGCCATGGCTGGTACTCAGCACTTCTTCTTTGCACATTGTGACACAGCTACCTGTCTATGATGTTCAGACTGCTGATAAAATAAGCGTTCATTTTCAGTGTTAGCACTTAAAGATTTAAAAAAAACTTTGGAAAAGATGCAGAGACAAGTGGGCTTACAACAGCAGAGTGCAGCACATGAAGTGTTCAGCTCACAGGAAGGCTGGGAGACGGGCGTCTTCCGAATTAGACGTAGGCAGGCAGGGGATGACTTTTCTGCTTTAGGTCTTCAGATTGTGGTGGGTAGTTTGGCTTTCTTGTACCTTCAGTTTTCAAGTTGCAATCAAACGACTCACCTTCTTTAGAGAGGTGGTAGAAAAGCTCTTTGTCTAGTTAAAGTCAAAGGCAGTATGTCAAATGTACAAGACCTATTAAATCAACTTTTGGCATTTTGTACTATTTTATATGCTCTACAATGTGTAAATCTCTCGGAAGAGAGAAAACAGAAATATTTTTCTTGTCCTGTGGAGACACAGGGTAGCCAAACCAATACCCGGGGCTGAAACTGGAAGGGGGGTATAAGTAAACAGAAGTCGGACAGACGTTCGTGACCAGGCTGCTAGTTCTGTTCTGTTCTGTTCCAAACACCGACCCGAGGAGCAAATGCAACAACCTGAGCGAACTGGACAACTCCGACGGAAGCTGAAATAACCGGAAGCTTTCTAGACTAAGAGTAGATACCAGTTTAAAAGTGGCGCTACCACATTGGGGATTTTAGGCAGAAATAAATCTTTGGCATGTGGTTTCTGTTAGGTATAAGCTCATGTTCTCCCGTTACAACAGTTGCATCGGTCTTTCCAAGTGAGTAAATTTTGGGGTAAGTTCGGCTTGAAATGGCATGCCTCAGCCGCACGACTTTAAGGTGGTTCCCAACGCACCGGGGATGAGAGGAGGGCAAGCAAAAAGGTCAGGAACGAGTTGATCGGCTACTGCATCGTTACTTTTGCGTTCATTAATTTGCACCTATTACTTCGTGGGGACTCGCCATTCAAGTACGGGGAAGCAGCTTGTAACTCGAATGGTAAAGGCGCAGGAGCAGGGCAACGCCCACCGCGCGGCCCGAAGCGGGAAGAGTTGTTTTAAACGCCCGAGGGGCGCGCGCCGGGGCGGCGCCCGGCTGGGAAAGGACGCCGGCCTCTCGCGTGGAGGCACCCCCGCACGCGCCCCCTGGGATGGGGGCGGGGGGGGGGGGGGGGGCGGCGTCCCGCGCGCGCAC